CAGTACGCTCCCGGCCATGTTGTTCAACAACACATCCTTTCGTGGGATCGGTGTTTGGGCCGGCACCGTTGCGTTGTTCAGCTTGTTATAAGCGTGAACCAGACGCCACTTTCCGTTCGGCTTACGAACGCAGAAAGTCGGCGTCGAGTGCGGGGATTTCGACTCCCGCGTCATGCCTGCCTTCGCTTTCGCGGCGAAGGAGGCATCAATGACCTCGCACTGCTCGCGCGGGAGAGACCATTGCCTCGTGACACAATACTTTGTGCCGGGCACGAGATCAATCTCGTGCCGTACGCCTCGATCTGGTGGGAGTTGGGTCGGTGGGTGTTTGTTCACCACGTCCGCGTACTCCGTCACCAAAGGATACACCGGATCCTTGGGGTTCTTGAGAATCTCAGAACCCAAGCGCGCCTGACGCTGCTTGTTCATGTCTTCCAGGACGTTCTCGTCCAAGAGAGAGGAGGAGTTCAGCTCCTCCTGAGTGGTCTCAGGTCTCATGAGTACCATCTCAGCAATCTCTCCAGCCTTGAGGCTGGTCAGGAAAGACTCAGCCGTCATTTCCTCGAGGTGCAGTATCTCTGCAACCTCTGGCAGCGGTTCCAAGTGGACACCAGATGCCTTGACGGGTAAACCTGTCTTGCCATCGAAGACGTGATAACACTCTTCCACCGGCCTTTTCGGAGGAGCCTGGGCCCTGGACTCCGAGTCGCTTGAAGCGGCGGCGGCGTCTTTGTCGACGGCGTCTGTGACGGGGAGCTTTGCTGCCCACGTCTAGGGATGTCGTCGCTACGACATCCGAGGCACTCGTGGCCTCGTGTGGTACTGTTGTACCCACACAGGAAGCGTGTTCAACGCCTTCCTCTTCAGTTAAGGTCTGGGCGACCGCGTGTGGCACTGTGTTACCCACACAGGAAGCGTGTTCAGCGCCTTCCTCTTCAGTTAAGGTCTGGGCGACCGCGTGTGGCACTGTGTTACCCACACAGGAAGCGTATCCGACGTCTTCCTCTTCAGTTATGGTCTGGGCGACCGTGAGTGGAACTCTGTTACCCACTCTGAACACGCTGTTCTCAGTGTTCATGACAGCTGCAGCTGTCTGCGGAACTAAGTTACCCGCCTGTGGACCTAAGTTACCCACTTGGCCGGCGCCTCTTCTGGGCGCGGCCACCATCAAAACATCCTCGGAGTCGTCATATACGTCGACGACACCAAGCATCTGCCGGATGCTTTGGTACCCTTGCAGCCCTCGCGGGCGCCCCGGGTCCTGACAGAGGTGGGAACATGACTCACCAATGCTCTGTCGGACTGCGCAGGGCGGCTGGCACCGATTGCCTTGCCTCGCCAGTCGATCCAGGGCTCGTGCTTCTCAAGCCAGGGCATGCCCAGGATCATATCATATGGATCCATATCGAGAACAGTGAGCTGTTCGAGGCTGTCAAAGTCTTCAAACTTTACAGCCAGATCCACTTGGACGTTGGGGACAGTGACGACCTTCCCGTCGGCCAGTCGCACTGACACCGCCCTGTTGCCCTTGCTTTCTCTCAAAGCATCGGACAACTTGTTGCTGTTACGAGCAACCGTCTGGCTGCGTGCGAAATTCTTCGACGCCCCAGAGTCAATCAAGATTCAAAAGGGATGATCGTATCCCCGTACACATCCGTGTACTACGAGCAACCCGCCGCTGCTCTTCGCCGATTCGAGAGTGCGAAGACTCTCAGGGGCTAAGTCCCCGTGGTACGCGCCACCCGCGCGCCCATCACGAAGACTTAGTTCTTCCCCAGTAGGGCGCCCCGCCCCTACTGGTTCCCTGCGTTCCCCTGTCCCCGGGATCCTGGCTTTTGCCAGCGACCCTTGAGGACGGGCTTGGGGAAGGACCGTCTGCGGAGTCTTTCCGCGGGGCAGTCGCGCTTGAAGTGGCCCATCTTCCCACAGCCGAAGCAGCGGATGTCACGCTGTTCGGCGGACCCAAGTTCCATGGGAACTGGTCCGTTGGGGCTTGTTCGACCGGGAGCCGACAAGGAACTCCCAGGCCACGCTGAGACCAGCGTACGCGCCTGGCGATGGCTGTACTCTTCTTGAAGAGCCACTTGAATCGCCTCTTCAAGGGTGCTTGACTGCACCCGAAACAGCTGAGTGCGTGCGGGACCCACTCGAAGGCCGTCCATGAACACAGTGTTCGTTGAGTGGGTTTCCCACTAGGGACGCCGTGAGCTCCCGTATCTCTTGCACATACTCGTGCAGCCCGCGCCTTCCTTGTTTACACGCGAGGAAGCGCGAACGCTGGCGGTACTCGTAGTTCGCCGGGAGGAACGCGGCTCGGAGCTGTTCGCACAGCTGAGCCCAGGATGTGAAACATCCAGGGGATGTTGTTTCCTGGGGTACACCCAACTCTTAGCACGACCGCTAAGGTTGGAGAGTGCAAAAGCAACACGCAGTTGCTCGGTCGAGATCAGAGCCGCGTCCATCGCGAGCTCTACTTCTCGGACCCAGAAGTGAAGGTTCTCGCTTTCCTTCCCTTCATACGGCTTAACCTTCAGTCGTATTGGCTTCGGGTGAGGCGGATTTGCTTCCGCCGCCGGAGCCTGCAGGTTCCCCCGCACATGCGCGATGAGGCCCTGCTCGTACGCGTCAAATGCATTGACGCGCTCGAGCTGATCAGCCGGTGTTGACACCACCAGGATCTGCAGGGCCTCCATCCCGAAGATGCCTGCCATCTTCCGAACCGACTCGAACTGAGAGTCGTTCAAATGGGAGAAGTCGTTCCTATCCATGGCAACGAACTTCGGAGAGGTTCAGGTAGTCTACCCGCGGTGGCGTGGATTGACTACGAGTGCTACCAAGTGTGACGGGGTCACACAGCACCTTGCGCTAGAGGAAGTTATCTTCCGAGAGTATACAAACTCTCAGTGAACGGCAGTTCACAGGTCCCCTCTTTAATTAAAGAGAGCGAAATGACCTAAATAAGGTAGATCGTAAACTGAGTATATTTAAAGGTAGGTTAAGTTTGGGTTTAATACAAACTATTAGTTACCTATAGAAATGCGATGTCATTTAACCAATGGTTGGCTTTGAACGACCTTGGTACCTTGTACCAAATATCCCGGAGTATGACGTGTCATACTCCTGAAGTGTGCTTCATGTAACCAGGGTACACTTAGGGCTACGTACCCCGTTACACCGATAGAGAATGTGTTCTCTTCGTTCAAGTCATCGGTGAAAGCGTTTATGCGAGAAAATCGACGCCAAATTCTTGATGTTCCTCCCGGTGTGACCATGAAGGACCATCGTCAGTATTTCCTCCAAACGGCTGCCAATCAATACCTCCCGGAGGTGACTACCGCAGCTAGCTGTCGCAAGTTTTATCGGCACACGCTTCTTTTTCACGCAAAGGTAAGTGACCTGAAGGACATGCCCTAAGCCGTTGTGCTTACCTGAGGTGTCTCTACACTCATTCTCACACTTTATAAATTCTCACAGAGTACCTCTTTTAACATACATGCTCAATTCGATTTGCACTTTGTAATCTTGCTACTTGCTCTTGATCAATTTGGACTGGAAAAGGTGTACTACAGTATCATATAGATCGAGGCCCAAAATATGGGCATTTCAACTGTCCCTTTTGGGAAAATTACAAGCAGGAAAACCGGTCTTTTTCTTTAGATTTGTCAAAAAATCTAAATTTGTGGAGTCAGTAAAGTGCAAAATTGCCATTTTTAAATGGCAAAGTCATTAAAATGGCAACGCACTACCTAATTGGATTTGCACCCGTTTTTCTTCACACTGAACGCTCGCATCTCAAGTGAAATGGACCCAATTGCCAAAGCACTTCTACGCTGAAATGGCGCAATAGCAAGCCTAGCTCTAGGCCACCTTTGGAATACTTTCGCTTACTTGCCACAGGAACCTTGTTTAATGAACAGAGTTAAGGTTTGCAGCCATCAACACGATTGCTCTTATCTGGGGTGGCGAATTGCCGTAGCGCGTGCATGCGTGCATGCAGCGCCATTGCCGACGACAGCTTTAAGTCTCTTGGAATTTCTTGCCGTCGTCTTCAGTGCGAGTGTCCGCGTCAGCTGTGGATCGGTGTCCCGTTGCTGGTCATGAGGTGTCCGGTGACGCGCTGAAATGATACTGGACCCATCTGGAGCGTAGCGTTTAGAGACCGGGCGTGGTTTCATCGAGCGTTCCAGCGCGGGCCTCATGCGTTCAGAGGCATTAGCGACATGAGGACTCATTGAGGAGTGAGTCGTGTGCGAGGCTCGCACACGACTCTGCGAGGTGTACCATGCATGAACTTCACGATGAAGGTGCTGTCGGACTCCGACTTGGAGCCAACTTCAGTATTGATTGAGCCGACACGATTGCTGCATCGCGCGCGCTGTCCAATGCATTCGCTCGCGGGCCAGCTCCCGTTCGATATTGTTTATGGTGGGACCCACGTACAGTAGTGGTCGTGTCTGTGGTGCCAAATGCTGCATTTGAATGCCAGTGCAGACACGATGAGGCTCGGAGGTTGCTGTTTCAAACTGTAATAGGCTGTTGGTATCCGATACCATGGTACAGATACTTCAGCCGACCTCGCAGCCATTGCGACGGGATCCGCTGGGGAAGTCTCCTGAAAAGAGGTTCCATGGTAGGCGTTGTGCATGTGTGCACAGAGAGTGAGCCCCACACTGAAACGATTCAAGTGTCCCAGGCCGGGAATATCGAACGTGGACGGGAGGTTGGCGGCGCAAAGCAGGGCTCGATGGCGAGCATTTCGGCGTCACGGACAGGTTAATCCGTAGCGGCGCCGGTGGGATCTCGGACCTGGTCTGCCATCCTCTGATTATCTGAAGATGTGGAGATCGGTCCTCTGCCCAGCGCTGTGGAAGTCTTAATTTGGGCTTTGACGGCCTCTAACACGAGAGTTTACGATTGCAACTTGGCCGATCTGTTTAGCCTCTGCTCGAGAGCGTCATCTCCGCGAGGCAACACCGCGCTGATAAGCTCGAAGAAGGGAGAGGCGCTCTGCGCAGCGACAGGGAACGCGGCCAATCTGGAGGGAGCCGTCAGCGCATCCAGACTCGCTCGGCTCGTGTCAGTTGAAGATCTTCCTCGCGCGTGCGAACGGGCACTACCTAAGACAGGCGAACAGGCTGAAGCATGTCCTTCACAAACATGGTTGAGAGCGCCGCAAGCGAGTGGACGCAGCAGCAAATGGAAGAAGCCAAGCCTGCGCCCGAAGGCCGCGGGATTTGGTCGCCTGAGGAGCACCGCCTCTTCGTTGACGGCATCAAGATGTTTCCTTCGGGTCCTTGGAAAGACATCGCTAGCCACGTGGGCACACGTACGGCGCGTCAGACCATGACCCACGCGCAGAAGTACCGTCAGAAGATCGCGAGGAGGCTGCGCAACGTGCGCATGAGTGGCAAGCACAACCTGCCCTTCCTCATGGACCAGGCGTCGCGCTTCAACGCGTTGCTCAGCACCGACGAGCAGTTTAACGACTCGATCCTGGCCACGTCGCTTGCTATCGCCGCCGAGCACGAACTCGACATGCTTGGCGAGACGGGCGAAGGCAACGCGTCCCCAACCATGCAAATGCTAATGCAGATGGGCATGAGTCCCAGTGCCGCCCAGGCCAACGTTATGATGGAGCCCATGGGCCCCAGCAACACGTACCAGAAGCAGCTTCCGCTGGCAATAGACTTCTCCTCCACGGAAGGCAACCCGTACTATCTGGATGGCCCATCCTTCGAGCCTAGTGATATCGAGTTCGACAAGTGCATGGACTTCTTGATCGAAACTTTCCACCGCGAGACCTAAACGAGCCGCGTCGCTCTCCGGGATCGAAGTGTATTTATTTGATGAGACCCGGCGGGGTGGACGGGAGGCTGTGGACTAGAGAGAATGCGAAGGAAGAGCGCGGGCGAGAGCGGTTGGTGTTGGTGTGGCTCGCTAGCGAGAAGAATTGTTTAAAAAACGCAGTAATATATTATGGTAGGTGAAGAGCCGTCCTTTTGAACAGACACTCAAATTTCATGGCAACATGTCAGTGACAAAAAGATCTCCGATGTGCGCCATCCATCGGTTCACGTTGGAGATCTTTTGGCTTCTCGAAAACCTAGGTACGCGCTAACTTAAAGTTTAAGCGATCTCGAGAAGATACTTGTGTCAAAAGAGACTCGGCATCTTGACCGCCCCTCGACAACCAACCGACTCGGTTGCTGTACGGACCGATGGATAGCTCAAGTATGGACGGGCCGTGACGTTGCCCTGCCACCCGCATGAGTCATGAAAAAGCCTGCAGACGAGAGGCATTCGCAGCACGTTCCTGTGCGTAAAGATTTGCTTGCCCAAAAATGCAAGGAGAGCATTCAACATTATCAAACGTAGTCAGGCAGCGTTTGTCGAGTCCAATTGCTGGTGACGTCGATCTTTTTGCTACATGTAGGTGCCACAGAACGCCGGCAGCGCTGCCCCCCCCCACACACACACGATGCGGTCAAGCTCACCGCGAAGTTGCCATTGTCGAGACCGGTCATCGCGGTGGTCGCGCGCAACTCCATTGGTGCCAAGTCAAGTCGCTCCGGCCTCTTGGCCATCAGCGTTCAAACATTTTCATGGCCAGCGTGCTGCGCGTCTTCGGCATCGATCACGACTATGCCGCTGAAGATCGTGAGTCACGAATCGTGACCACTACGATGCAGTACCAACACAACTAAGTCCTCTGCTTTGAACGCTCCCAGCAGAGTGCGGACAAAATTAGAAGTCTATGTCACGATACTTGAAGCTGTCGGTTCCATCACTTCCACCGAATACCTGTAGAAACATTGGCCCGAGATGCTCCAACAACTGACAGTGGGCGGCATCTCCAGCGTTCGTGGCTCGGTCACCACGAGGCCTAAAATTTGCCATCAGCGCTGATACGTGCGCGCGCTATTCGAAGGGGTCAACGACGAGCATCATCCTCTTTCCTCTTGCCAACGCTCGATCATTCAGCAATCGTCTCCGCCTCAAGCGCTTCAACCACGATTACTCAGTTCTTCGAGGGCTCTCTACGAATGTCCCGCATCCGTCGCCAAGGCACTCGGCCTCGTCTCAGTCGCGAAGGTGAGGGTGTTTGGACCCCCGGAGAGCACGCGCGCTTTCTTGAGGCCGTAGAGCTCAATCCACACGGCCCCTGGAAACTCGTGGCCGCCCACATCGGCACGCGCAGCACGCGCCAAGCCATGACGCACGCCCAAAAGTATCGCCAGAAGCTGGAGCGGCGACGACGCGGTCTGCGCAATGCGCAGTCTAATCGACCAAAGACTACGTTGACAAGTGAAAGCGGTGCGATGATCAGCTTCGAACAGCTCTTGACGTTGGACGCTGGGATGCTCGGCGAGACCTTGCGGTGGCTTGATCCCTTGCCCCTAATGACCCCCCATCCGATTTTTTACGCCGACCCAATGGAGCCTGCGTGGGTCGGTGACTGCACCAGGACAATTTTTCCTAGTCAAACTGACAGAGACGTGAACATCCTGTCGATGTTATTGAAACTTGTAATTCAAAGAGAAGTTTCTATAAGTTATTTTGCCTATGAACGCCGCCTACACACGCTCCATACTTTCATCATATCGCTGATCTTGTTGGATGGCCAAAATTCGTCGTACATGTACTGTAGCACTTCTACAGTACTTTTAGCCCATTTGTTAGTGAAACACCTCCGACTTCTCCGCCGTTAGAGAATCCACTTCAGATTCGTCAGCGCGTTCACCAAAATAATCGATAGAACTCTGATGCTGAGACGTCGGGGCTCGCTGAAGCAACGCCTGGAGCTCGAGATTGAACGCTGTTGCAACAGCGACCGAAAGCTCATTGCCTCTTGATGAGGTTGGACATATAGTACTTCGTGGCTCTCTAGCTGCCAAAGCGGGAGGCCGACGTGGTCCTCCACGCGGAGGCGCGTGAGGTAGCGCAAACATGGCATTGACCGGAAAAGGTGACCGCAGAGTTCCTGCTGCTAAGGACGTTACCGGAGGTGCCGGTGGTATCGGAGGATCAAGATCAACATGTTTCGTGAGGCCTGGTACGCGGTGCGCCAGCACATCTTGCAACTCACGTACAAAATGCGGCGTTGGTCCTGATGACGCTGCTGCCGTGTCTGCCTCCTGGTGCTTTAATAGTGCAAGTAAATCAAAGTTGTCGTTGCCAGTGCTGGTTCCAGTGAACACAATAGTGCAATTGTGGTCTGCTGGTGTCACATCAGACAAAGGGGTAACAGACTCGGTCAGTTTTGACTCGCAATCTTCTACTTCAGTTTCTTCATCCACCATCGTGTCTTGCGAGTTTTCTCCACCTTTTAAAGCGCTCAGGGCGCTATTGTACTTGCCCCACATCTCCTCCAACTGGTGAACCATAGATCGCATCGCATCACGGGAGCTGCTCAGACTTCCAGCTGCTGAGTCAGCGGACAAAAGCTCGTATTGAGCTGCGATGGCCAGCGCAGTGAAAGTCTCGCTTATAGCTCGCAAGTCTTGGAGCTGTGTAGCGACGCTTTTCAGGCGAGGATCGACTGGGATTGAAGGAGTTAGTTGCCGCTCTCGTGAATTGATCTTCGGGTGCGTGGTAAGTAGAGCCACGGGGTCTTTTGAGGTATTCCATGCATCGAGATCAGCTTTCCATACACTCAAAAACTGGATCAATTGGTCAACTGCAGTTTGATGTGAGTCCAGCGTGCGAAAAAGACTGCAGTTCGCCATCTTATCACGGGCGGGACAAGCGCGCGCCATACTTCGTACAAGTGCAGCATGCACGGCATTTTCTAGCAACAGCACCGCTCGGTTACGTTGTTTCTCTAGCGCCGTCAGTAGCAATGACGGAGCTTGCTCGTCGATGGCGTCGTCTTCGTCACCAGGATCTCGCGTTTTCGTATCATCATTCTTCTCACCTTCATCCACGAAAGCAGAGACTTGTAGGTGAAGCTGATCGTTCAGTGCCCTCAGCTTTCTTCTCAATGGCAGACAGCGCAGCTGCGTCTTCGCAGCAGTTACAGTCACATCCTCAACGCTGCGACCACGTTCTGTATTGCTCGCTTCTAACCTGCCGACAGGTGGCAGCAAACCACCTCCGAGCCGATATCCTCGACTCGCCAGCTCTGCACGCTTGACCAGCGTCAAACTTGCAGCATAAACCTCATTGAGCTTTTCTAACGCAGCTAGAAAGCGATTCAGTGAAGTCACTAGGCGCTTCGAGCGATGTGCCAACCAAGCAAAAAACAATTGCATGCTCAATTCCAGCAATAGTAGAACAGCTAGAGAACTAGCAGCGACCCACCCCACCAAATGCAGTACAAAAACTTCACCGCTACTCAAGTGAGCAGCCAACGCTATGACAGCCACCGAAGCTCCTCCAACGCCACCACAAACTTCCCAAACATTCACTTCAGAAATCTCCACTCCACTCAACACCTCAACCAGGGCAATACGTTCTGTCCACCAGCCCCGACGAGCTTCACATAGTTTTACAAATACCGCCGAGTCACTCGCAGCCTGTAGCTCCTCCCTACCAAAAAATTAAAACAAAGCTAATCAACTGCCAACGTGTATCAGCTGCCACAGCATTCCGCTCACCGGATCGTCGGGTGGAAGACACAAAGCCTGGGAAGCAGCTGATGGACGGCCATCACCTCGAATTGACGGCGTAAACTCTGGGCCATTCTTTTCCAGCTCGAAACACGCGCCTGTCCTCCAGTTGGACGTCTTGGACGCTTCCTCGACACCGCAGAACGAGGCTCCGACAGCAATTGTCCCATGGACTCGCCCCCATCCGCCTCCAGCTCTGCAAATAAACACAAACGCACAGAAGGATTTATTATCTAACCAAGTGGGTGCTGCTCTAGCGCCATCATACCGGCCAGGTACTGTCCTAGCGGTGAGGTGGATGCCACAGCGATCTCCATTTTGACGGTTACTTTTAGTCCAAAAGAAATGTTACTTTTAGTCGCACCTTACTTCATGATTACTTCATTTCGCCACTTTTGGCATCATTCTCATTCGCACCACGTGGAGCTCAATTGGGTAAAAGATGCTGAGTCGGCGGCTGCTCGTACTGGTTGCTGCCGCGGCCCTGGCGTCAAGCGCCGATGCCGTGGATCGCAGCAAGTTCCGCACGTGTGAGAAAACCCAATTCTGCAACAAGTTTCGCAACGTGCAGCGTCAGGAGCTGCCCAGTAAGTTCTATGTGGAGCGTGCCAGTATCCGGTCGGACTCGGACGCAAACTTGGTGCGTTTCCTGGTGGAAGACGCGGGTCAGAAGGGCGGTGTTCCGCTTGCTGGATCTCTCGCGTTCGTGCTTAATGCGGACAGAGCGGTGGTGCCGGCGCTGCGAGTGCGACTCCAGGAGAAGTTCGAGAACCCAAAGGACCCCAAGATCCGCTGGACTAGTGACGATATTCTTGTTCCTGCAGCTGAAGAGACGCGCCCGCTTCGTCAGTTGACGGTGAAAGAAGCGGGTCTCAAGACATCAATTAACGAGGATAACGTGCTGCTGTTCGCCCCCGAGACGCAGGGGGCGACGCAGGTCGTGGCTGCCTTGAAGTTGGGCGAAGGATCTTTTGGTGTGGATTTGTATCTGGACGGAGAGAAGGTGGTTTCCACTAATGACGACGGATTGTTTCACTATGAGATTCGACAGGACCGCGTAGATTCCGCGGCGCAGGGTGAAGCGGCGGCCGACCAAGCTGCAGTGGATGCTCATGAGGGGAAGACTATTGTGGACTATGGGGAAGATGGCCTTGCTATCTATGATGACGGTACCGTACAGAAGAAGGAGGAACAGTCAGCTACTACGACGGCTACGGCTGGGGCTGATGGGAACGTGGAGGGATGGGAGGAATCCTTTGGAGGACACACAGACAAGAAGAAGTTTGGCCCCAGCTCTATTGGACTGGATGTGTCGTTCCACGGATCGGCAGAAGCCCCACGCTCGCTTTACGGCATCCCAGAACACGCCACGGATTTCGTACTCAAGGACACAATTGAGCCGAACGATGAAGGGGAGGGCAAGAGGAGGGTGGTGACTGATCCGTACCGTTTGTACAACTTGGATGTGTTCGAGTACGAGCTGGACAACCCTATGGCGTTGTATGGCGCGATCCCAGTGCTTGTAGCTCCGAATAAGGAGAACACTGTCGGTATGTTCTGGAACAATCCCAGTGAGACGTTCGTGGACACTTGGACCGACGAAGAGACGAACAGCAAGTCTAGTCACTGGCTCAGTGAGTCTGGCGTCTTCGATCTGTTCTTGCTGGCGGGGCCTAGCAGTGCCGATCTGTTCTCGCAGTACACGCTTCTTACTGGTCGCGCGCAGCTTCCGCCGCTCTTTGCCTTGGGCTACCATCAGTGCCGTTGGAACTACAAGAACGAGGCTGATATGGCGCGTGTGGATGCTGGCTTTGACGAACATTTGATCCCGTACGACGTGCTGTGGCTGGACATTGAGCACACGGATGGAAAGCGTTACTTCACGTGGGACGAGCACGCCTTCCCTACGCCCAAGAACATGCAGGAGTCCGTGGCGCGTACTGGCCGTAAGATAGTAACTATCGTCGACCCGCACATTAAAGTGAGTCAGTCCAAAGACAAGCAGCCGTATTACATTCACACTGAAGCCGAGGAGCTGGGACTCTTCGTCAAGGATGAACAGGGCAACGACTTCAAGGGATGGTGCTGGCCGGGCGAGTCTTCGTACGTCGACTTCACATCTCCAAAGGCGCGTGCATGGTGGCGTCACCAGTTCCGCTATGAAAACTACCAGGGGAGCACCAAGCACTTGTACACTTGGAACGACATGAATGAGCCGTCCGTTTTCAACGGCCCTGAGGTTTCGATGCGCAAGGGATGCATGAGTCTTGCTGGCGTGGAACACCGTGAATGGCACAATCTGTACGGAATCCTCTTCCAACGCTCGACCATGGAAGGCCAGCTAGTTCGTCAGCAGCCTCCTCCAGAGCCTCTCTCGGCCTTTGGAGAGGAGCTACAACTTCGGTCAGATATGCAGCGTCCGTTTGTGCTATCTCGCGCGTTCTCCGCCGGTTCGCAGCGGTACGGAGCGATCTGGACGGGAGACAACACGGCTGAGTGGGGCCATCTGCGCTACGCCACCAAGATGCTGCTGTCCATGTCCGTTGCTGGGCTTACGTTCGTGGGCGCAGATGTGGGCGGATTCTTCGGCAATCCGCCCACAGAGCTGCTTACGCGATGGAACCAGGCGGCTGTCTATCAGCCATTCTTCCGCGGCCACGCTCACCACGACTCGGCTCGTCGTGAGCCGTGGGTATTTGGAGAACCAACGACGTCACGTATCCGCGCTGCTATTCGTGAGCGCTACTCGCTGCTACCGTACATCTACACGCTTTTCCACACATGTTATGCTCGCGGTATGCCCATCATGCGTCCCCTTTGGGCGCACTTTACTCTGGAACCGCAGAGCTTTAGTGAGGAGGACCAATATCTGCTGGGTGACGCCCTGCTCGTGAAACCGATCGTTGAGGAAGGCGTGGAGGCCACGCACGTGTTCCTCCCGTCCGACAATGCTCAGGATAAGACGGTGTGGTACCAGGTGACGGATGGATACAAGCGTTTCTTCGGTGGCAAGACGTACGCGAACGTGCCGGCGCCACTGGATGCCATCCCAGTATTCCAGCGAGGCGGCACCATATTGCCACGTAAGCAGCGTGTGCGTCGCAGCTCGGAGTTGATGCGCGACGACCCGCTGACGCTGGTGGTGGCGCTAGACCAGCGCTTAGAGGCTCGTGGCGATCTGTACGTGGACGACGAGCGCTCATTGGCTGCTGAGCTTGAAGGGGAGGGCACTGTTGTGTCGTTTCATCAGACGAAGGAGGGACTGCGGTCAACGGCTACTGCAGCTACATCGCAAGGCAAGCGCTACACGTCGCTCATGTGGGTGGAGCGCATCGACGTGTACGGCTTCCAGTCTGAGGCCAATGTGCCCAAGCAGGTGTTGGTGGGTAGCGAGCGCGCCGTGGACTTCCAATACGATGCCGCCAGTGACCGCCTTGTGCTGCGGAAGCCGCAGGTGCTGGTCACGGACGACTGGGAGCTGCGTTTCGTGTACGACCAAGCGCTCGAGTAATCGTAGAGGTGAAAAGTGTGGAGGTTGTCAAATCAGATAAAGACCAGGCCATGCCCCGTTACTGTCGAATCGACAGTGTACATCAGCTGCTTGCAACGCCCCACCGACTGTAGCGAAATGCATCAATCCAAATTGACAAGAATCTTGCCTGTACAGTTTTCTTTCGTGTTCTCTATACTTGAGTGGCATGTAACCATTCATCACTGACAGACTACGTTTCACTTCGGATCCATCCAGCTCGTGCACGAGCTTCCCAGCCGCGTAGGTTAATTCGTGCAGAAGCATTTGAGCACGGCACTTCATCATTATAATGTACAACGAATGATGTGATATCAACAACCCTGCAGCTCGAAGGCTTGCGAGCTCACCTTTCCGCACATCTTGTATTACGACAACGTGACTCACCTCACGTTATGTGAGAGTACTTTTAATGTAAATACAGATGACCCCTTTCATAGTCATAGCGCCGCATTTTCTTTTTCCGTACAATCGTGACCTTCGCATAGTCAAGAACCTCCGAATAGTCATATTTAGTGATTTCACGTTCTGTATCACAAGAGAGGGGAGCGGGAAATTCACTTAGGTTTGTAATCCGGTTGACTTCATATGTTATTTCTATCGGCGGGAGCTCCAAAATTAGGGATTACTACGGAAGGGTTTGTCCTGTCAGCAACCAGTCGAATTTCAACCCAAGTTTTTGGTGTCCGGAAAGGCAGTGACACCGTTACTCACGCACTTCAACTTCGAAACAAAGATCGCCGTCGTGCGGTTGAGAAATTTGGGAGTCGAGTCGAAAGCACTGGCGCAGCGCCGGTGCTTTCGACTCCAGTGGAGCCAAAAAAAAAAACATGTCGTGCATTGCTTCATGCAGTTGCAACATCTTACTCACTGAGTAACTCAGATTCGCGATGGCTTCGAAGGTCTGCGCGCGATCGAATTTCTATCAGAAGGCTTTGCCGAATATGCAGATGGACGCCGAATCAGCCTGCGAGCTCTTCTTGTTCCCCATGTCTTCGCCATCTGTTCGTTACGCGTTTCTCGAAGACGAAAGGTACCTGTGCTATGAATAAAAGTAGTACAATACGCAGGGAACGTCTGGTTGCACTACTGTTAGTCTCTCTCTCTCTCTCTTGACCTCGGGGTGCAACTGGACGCAACGTCAGAAGGGAGAGGAAAGTACGCTTTGGTGCACCTAGTCTGTGATGGCTTTACCGGCGTTGTCCTCTTGCCCTCTCATTCTCCCTTTCACCCTACTCGAGGCAAACCTCCAGTCCCAACTTCTCAAGTAGCGTACACTACCCCACGATGAAGCTCAGCACCGTCTTGCTCGCCGCTGCCGGTATCGCCTCGACGGCCTCTGCTCAAGCTTTGTCCTCCGCTGCTGGTAGCTCTACTGCTGCTACGGTTGCCCCTTTGACGTCGAGCACAGCCTCGTCGTCGACTGCTGCTACAACTGCGAGCTCCGGCACCACCACCGCCACCGTGTCCGGTGGCGATGTCTTCGCCAATCTCAAGACCAAAACGCACCCCAAGGACGCGTACCACATGCCCGCGGTTCGTGCTGTGCACGCCCGTGTGCAGAGTGACGCTCCAATCCTGGTGGACGGCGTCTTCGTGTCGAGCTTCGGCGCTGGCGAACTCGAGGCTGGTTACCAAAGTGCCATGGACACGGTCAACACCGCATCGGTGGAGGGTGCTCTGATGTACGTTCAGGCTGAAGGCATCAACATCAACGTCCGAGCTGAGGAGGAGCGCTGCGAACGTAAGTCTGGTATGGCCAACATCGTCTTCTACGAGGTCATCATCGTGCAGACGAACGAGTCACTCGCCCAGTTCCAGGACTCGTGGGGCAAGACGCCCGAGTACGGCCCCATG